ATCCGAAGGCGTTCGCACCCGAGGCTAGCATTTAGACCGAGAACTTTTGCTTTCCGACTGAACGAGTTTGCTTCCGCCTACCTTCACAATTCTCAGGCTCGTTTGCAGTTCTCGACAGGCTTCGCTTTGAACCCTCCCTCGCATCCGAGCCTTCCTATTCACAGGAGCTCCCCTCGCATCGAACCTTCCCTTTCGTAGTAGCCCCTCTCGCACCCAACAGCCTCTTGCATAAACTTTCCCCCTCTAGCACCGAACATCTTGCCTTCGCAGATTCGCATAAACTTCCCGGTTTTCGATCATTTTCGCGTTTTAAGCCCGTTTTGATGATTTTGATAGAGGATTTTCTTCCAAACTCGTATTTTGACATATAAGACCCATAAACTCGTATTTAACTCCTATTTTGGGGCAAATTCTTATTATGACTCATATATTTTGTACAAGATATTATCTATGGGTTGTTGACTTTTCCAAGAACTTATGACACCAAGCCATCCCCATATCCACTTTATGTCACTATACACACTATACCTAGTCAAATCATTGTCCTTTCAACATTACCCAACACTCCATCAGATTTCCTTAATCAAATCCACTCAAGGAAATCTTTATTCTTCATATTTCCACAAAATCTCATTTGCCTCCACCCAAATCAAACTTATTTTCTTTCTTTTTCTCTCTCTCATTCTCTCTCTTTGGAACTCAAAACTTCCCAGGAAGATCTCGAGTTCTCCTCCATTTTTGGTAAGTATCCTCCTTCTACTCCTAACTAAATAGTACTACTTCATACAAATTATGGATCATTTACACAAAATATGGGCATATTTGTTCTTAGGATCTTCAAACCTTCAAGCATCCTTCAAGTGTTCTTGACTAGAAACTCCCCTTTTCTCAACCTTCCACCTACGGAAATCACTCAAGGTGAGTTCATACCCCATTCTTTTCACTTTTCATCTAGTTTTATAGGGGGAATACAAGTTACAACATCAAAACATGCTTAAACTCAAATAACAGCTTTCAACAGAAAAGTTATGGCTCAATCACGAATTGTTTTGACCATCTTAAACTCCATAACTTTCAAAACTGTTTAATATGCAAGTAGTTCAGGTTTATACCTTTCAAATGACTACTTACTCATGTTCACATGATTTTTCTACAATTTATGGTGATTTTTACAAAACTGTCTATCACTACAGTAAGGATTTCGGACCAGTTAGTAAAATGGTCATTTTGACACTAGTTAGGAATAATTAAAAATCATAATAAAAATTATGAGTATACTAGACACATTTTATGAACTTCCGGAGTTTACAGATTTAGATTTCAACTCACGATGATTTTTCTATAATTTTTACAATAACAGTGACAGAAAAGTAAAACTAGTTACAAACAGTTTACAAGTTATTAACACTTTGTAATGTGTTGAGCAAAGTGTTTATCTATGATGACTACGTATTTAATCATGTTATCTGTTAAGTTACACTTAAATAACAGAAATACTCATTCATTATAAGAGTTCTTAGTCATTACAAACATACAAGATGAACTATAATAAGTATAGTTTATGATTTGTTAATCTACTATTCACCACGAAAATGTTCAATTCTCACTACAAATGGGTTTTTCATTACTATGTACATTCATGATAAACTATAATAGGTATAGTTTATGTTACATCAACTCTATGAACTTAATAAGGAAGGTTATATTCCTACTACCAAAAAGGATTTTCAATTATACTATACGTAAACTTGTTAAATCCGGTTGTGAGGAATTACTTCATTGTACTCTTAGAGTATTGATTAAAATCTCATAGTTATAACCAGAGTCTCTTGTAGGGAGAGCGTGATACTTGTATATAGATCTATATTGGGATTGACAACCCACACATTAGCTGCATGCAACAGCTAGACCGACAAGTGTGGTGACAAGTATGTCGCCACATGTTACTATATCAATCAGTATGGTTATAATAACTCACATAGGAAAATAACAACACACATAGTTTACGGGGATCTCTACATTTAGAATGAGTTTTATTTTTATAAAACTGCTTATACTATTATAAGTATGGTAAAATACTTGTACATTTTGGTCTTTGGGTCTTAAGACTACAACTCATTTAATAAGGAAAATTGGATTTTCCTTGTTCATACATTATATTTACAGAGAAAGGTTTTCAACTTTATATACAAAATCTTATACACTCACCAACGTAATCGTTGACACTCTTTCAAAATTTACTTGTATTCTAAGGTAAGAAATAAAAACAAGTGACTACCAGCTTTTGATGATGGAACGCTTCAGCGTTAGACAAAACATTTTATTATTATATTGTAATCGATTTTGAAACATGTAACTCATGAAATCATGTAACTTTCTTGATTATATTTATGATAATTGTATTTAATTTGATCACTATTATACTCGTTGTTGTGATATTATACATGAAGCCCTCCACCCTTGGACGTTTCCGCCATCCGTTGTTTGAGGGTGTGACACTTAACTCTTTTTAAGTTTTAAAAGGACATCAAACTTTTGACTTTGTGCTCATTTAGTCACTTAACTTTTGGTTTGATCACTTAACTTTAAATTTGTGCTCATTTAGTCACCTAACTTTTAAAAATTTGTTCATTTAGTCGCTAAATTTTTGAAAAAATTCAAAAGTTTAGTGGCTAAATGAACACAATTTTAAAAGTTAGGTGACTAAATGTGACAAAACCAAAATTTAAGTGACTAAATGAGCACAAAGTCAAAAGTTTGATGATATTTTAAAACTTAAAAAGAGTTAAGCGACTAAATGAACAAAAAACCAAAAATGACCTAAACCTATATATACATATATATATATATATATATATATATATATATACACACACACACACACACACACAAATGTTTAAATTAAGAATAGATGATAATCGATATTAATTCTGTTAGTGTTATTTTAAAGAAATTTAATCATTTCCTTGATTTATTGCCATTGATACTATAGATAGGAAAAGATGATAATTAAACTGTAAATATGGTAAATCATTAGAGAGAGATCTATAAGTTTAAAACTTATTTTATTCTAGAATTGTAGTGTGTGTGTGTATATATATATATATATATATATATATATATATATATATATATATCATAATCTAATAAAACGGTACCAAATCGCCATGTGGCAATCAATAAGCTTCCCCCCAACAATTTTTCCCGCTCAAAATTGAAAGTTAAATTCCTTATTTGCCCTTTGTTGAAAATAACTATTCTTCAATACTTAAATACTTAATTTACGGAATTCATATTTAAAAATCACGTAAAATCAGGAAAATTTTTACAAATATTTTTTGTATATATCTGTACATAAAATAAAATCAGTATCAACTTTCAGAAATAATAATATATACAAATTTAGCACTCAAAATGTAATCACCTAAAAGATAATGAAACATCTTACCTTAATTTTTCGGATTTGAAATTTCAAATCTTCCTATTCCAATAAACCTGCATTAAAAATCACATAAAATCAGGAAGAATTTTTCAATTAAAAGATAACATAACATCTTACCTTAAATATCGTAAACATCACGGTTCTTTCAGTTTTTGAAGTATATATCCACCGGTTACTTGGATATATGATATTCTGCTTCATATTCTTCCTGTATCGACTGCATCTTTGAAATTCTGCTTCATCAAACTTCAACGCATAAGGTTAGTTTTTATTCTATCGTGATTTATTTATGCATTTATTTCCTTCTCCTTCATCTTCTTCATGGTTTCTCTATCGCATCTCAGTATTCCTGAATCATCATATTTTGCTGGATATAATATATCTAATATTGTAGTGGGATTCTAAACCGTTTTTTTCTGTTTTTATTCTACTATAAAGATCAATGTAATTAGCATTAAACATTCAATTCATCCTTCTTTGCTGGAAATAATATAACAAATAGCATAATACTTTGCTGGAAATTATAATTTTTGCTGTAAATAATATAGCAATTAGCATAATGTGATGCTAAACTGTTTTTTTATTTTATATATACACAAAGTACTTTCCAGAAAATAATAATAAAATAACAGACAAAAAGAAATTGTACACATGTTCAAAATTTAACAATGTACTTTTATGATGAATCAGAAAGTAGGATAATATAATAATAAAAAAAAATATGTTACTATTTCCTCAATTTAACCCTTTGTTTTTTTTAAGTTAACATATTCATCTGCTTATTTAAGTGAGTCAACTCACTCCTTTTCTTCTTACTTTTTTGTGTTGGGTTTCATGAGCTAATAATTAAGGTTGTGTTATTGATTTTATTCGTAAAAAAAATTAATAGAATCAAACAAAATCATTTTTTGATGATCATACCTATGTTTAGCATTATTGTTGTTGTTGTTTAATTTTATTTATTTTTTTATCTAACTAATAAACCTTCCAAGTATGTGAATAGTTGTTTTTAGTTGTGGGAATTTTCTAAAATTGTTTATTTAAATCATATTAGTTAGTGAAAATATCATCATTTGCACGTGTAGTGAAACAACATTGCCCATGTATGGAATTATAATGTATAGCATTTGATAATTGTTCTATAAATTTGCCCAAAAATTGATAGTGTTGGATGTAAGGTAAAATACTGAAATATTATTGTCTAAATACATATTTAACCGGTTACACTATTAGTCATTACAATTACAATTTGGATTTATTAGTGATGTTTGTCATTTTTTTCTGTGCATCTATTACACTCCAAATCCAAGTATTCAAGAAACAAATATTTACTGTTTTTGCTCTATTTCTAACTTGTCAAATGTTTACAAAATTATGTTTGGTCCTATTTTTACCCATGTCAACTTTGTGAATGTATATATTTTAGACAAAGTGAATGTATTTTTAACAGTATTTGAAACAATAATGTTTTCCATCTATATTTGTGCTCTAATAGATGATGTAATATGTTTATAATTGTTTGCATTTAATATTAACTGTTTAATAATATGCTTTCAATTTATAATGTAAAGGGCAAAATTGATAATAATTTCAATATGCTATCAATTGTTCGCAGATAATGAATATCGGCAATAAACTATATCTAAAAGACATTGAACATATTGCTGATGATTCACATATCAAACTACGGGTGTTAAAGATTTGGAATTTTATAAAAAATAACCACGTTTTATCGATTGAAATGATCGTCATGGACGAGGAGGTTAGTTAACTTTTTTTAAACCTACTAAATATTACATATGTTTCAAAGAATATTTTTTTTGTTTTTGTTTTAACAGGGTACAAAATACCAATCTCGTGTTTTCCACCAAAATTTTTCAAGATTTCGTGACCTTTTAAAGGAAGGTGAAAGTTATATCATTTTAAAACCAAACTTGGCGGGTGTTAAAAATGGTTTTAGTGTTACCGGTCAGAAACAGACATTAACTTTGGATTGGAAAAGTATCATAAAAAAATTTGATGATTTTTCGGGTCCCGTTAATGGTTTTGTGTTTGTTGATTTCAACTCTATCATCGAACAGAAATGCCCAAGAGACACATTATTTGGTTAGTTGTTTAATTTTATTCCATTCACTTTTATGACTAAAAGAAATAAATTATAAATGTTAGTATTTAACTGATTCTTATATTTTTTTTATTTTAAAATTGTGTAGATGTTATTGGGCTAATTGTCTCATTTAGGCTACTTGAGACAACCAATCCTAATCCATCAAAACATTACATGAAGATGACTATTAGCAACTTAGAGTGAGATGATATTTATTTCATTTATTTATTATTTTTAGTCATATTTTTTCATACTAATTAAATTAATTTTTTATTTAGGTCTGTACACCTCAATGTCACTATATTTGGAAGTTAGGCACATGAGATGTCACATTACCTGAAAAGTAACACCACGATTACTTGTGTTGTTATAGTGATGCAGTTCGTGAAACTTAACGTTTGGAATGGTTTGTATTTTATTACTTAATTTGTTTTCCAATCTACTTTTATTGACTAATATGTTTTTACAGGAATTAGTCAAGCCCAAAGTCATTTTGATGTAACCAAAATGTTCATTAATTCAGACATTGTTGAAATTAATGAGTTTAAGAAAGAGTTAGTTTTTTTAATTTTTATTTAAACTTATTTATGTTATTATATTTATATAGATGAATACAATTTCTTATATTTAATAAATTAATTTTAAACATTGCAGATTGAAGGCTAATAACAAAGGAGATATGTCTGAAAAAAGCATTACTACACTCCCAAGCTACTCCACCTTTTATATAGATGATTTTAAAGGTGATTTCCCTTTAAAAACTGTATGTGAGATCACAGAACCACTTAAGGTATATGTTCTTTACTTTATATCCTTTAATTTTATTTGAACATTGTATTTTTTTTTTAATTTTACATTTTATTTGATATAGGAAATGAAATTTCTATTAGCTGGTTCCATCGTCAATATAAAGACAGAATCTACCTTGGTATTACGATGCGTGCTACAAATGTGGAAGAAGGATAAACAATGTGCCCAAAACCAATCTTTCCTATACCGCCCCCGGCAAGATGGAAGATAGTGTTGTAATTAAGTGTAAAAATGCAGCTTGCAACGATTCGAATTTTCATATTGTTATAAAGTATACATATACCTCCATTTATATTAATCATTTCAATCATTCAACAAAAATAATAAACTAATCTAATATTTTTTAGGTATATAATTCCAATCAACGTACAAGATCATACTGGCACCATCAGATTCACTCTTTTTGATAGGGAAGCAAAAAGATTGTTGGATATAAGTGCATTCGAGTTGAAAAAAATACATGAAGAGGTATAGTTTTTTATTCATATTTTTTTTATCAAATAACATTTTATTTGTTTTAATATATTAAACAATCTTCTTACAGGCTGGTGAAAGTTTGGAACTATATCCAAATCATATGAACGTCTTGAAAAACCGCAAATTTGTGTTTCTTGTAGATGTTACATCCTACAATGTCACCAACTATAACAATATCTACACCGTTGTCAAACTTACAGAAGATGAGTCTGTTGTTTTAGAATTGGAAAGTAAACGAGAACTTATGGTAAATAATGTTTTAATGTTCAATATTTATATTTATTTTTTATTTACATACATAACGTTTTACATATTTCCATATTATTTTCTAGAGTGTCCTTAAATAAAGTACCCATGGAATCAGATGAGGTCATTCAAAATGTTCAAAAGGTATGTTATATTCTCATATTAACTTTTATTTATATTTAATTAGATCGCTTGTCAACTTATGTTTTTTTAATTTAGGATGTCATATCACAAACGGATGAGAATTTTACTCCCTCAACAATTGATAAATCATCTGCAACAAGTCCATTGAAAATATCAGGTGATTTGAAGCGCAACCTCCATGATATTTATGATGTTGATGGTGGAGGTGATTTGAGTTCAATAAAATCTAAAAGAAAATCAATGGGAGAGGTAAACCCACTTTTAGTTCCAAAAGTGGAAAAGTGAGTTGTTATGGTGATGACGTTTATGATCTAGAAGATGATGGTGATGCAAATTCTATAAAATCAAATACGGAATCTTTTGGTGAAGATACTCCAGTTTGGGTGCCAAAAGTGGAGAACTGAGTTGATTATGGTTTTTAAAAACAATTATTAAGTTTGGTTTTGTTTTAAAGACTATTTCGTTGTTTCGTTCAAGTATTTTGGGGACTTTCGTTTGTTTTTATACGTTTGTTTTGTTTATTTGAAGTGGTTTAACAGTACATTTTTACTTATTTGACACTTTCGCTTTAAAATTTGTTTGTATCACAATTACACTAAAATTAATCTTGGAAAATAATATGTTTAAAAACAGTTAAATTTAAATTCACAACAAGCAATGTACTTGTGTACAAGGGCATAACGAATAGTTTTTACATTGCAATTGTTTGTTTTTCTGTTTATGTCGTATACTAAAAAAACTATCATTATTTCTTTTTAATAGAAAAGGACAATTCTACCCTTATATATTGATCGTTTTACCAAATAACTTATTTCATAATATAGCACCCTACTATTCATAAAAAGCGACATAAAGGGCAATGGACTAATAGGAATGAACCAAAAAAAGGCAATCAACTATAAAGCGACATAAAACATACCAGGAGCATCAACAAGGGCAAAAAGGCCAATAAACCTCATATGAAGGAAGCAAGAATCATCCGAAACCAAGTATACCAGGGTCTAGCAAGAAAAAGACAACACAATCAAGTAGTAAACAACATAAATGAAGCCACCCAACACAAAAGGGAAAAACATTCCAACTTATAGCAAAACCAAAAGGGCTAAACAGTCCATCTAACAGAAACATCATTATTGCAGTTTTTTAGCCAAATGGCAAAAACTTCAAATTCGTATACAATATAAAAATAAAAATAAAAATCTGTTATTCTTTGTGGAAACCACGGGTAAGAATAAAATATTGATAATTAAATATTGTAATCACTAATCAAAGACTTCTAAAAATTTGGATAGACTACCGATAGCAATAGTAGTATAATGCTTAATTAAGAAAAAATAAAAAAGAAAATAGACGTAACAATAAGATAGTATTTTACACAAGCAAAACCAAAATGTGTGAAACTTTTTTGAAGAAAAAAGCATTATATGTTGCTAATTTCTATATTTCCTCAACTTCCTTTGTGCCACCATATAGTTTTGTTGTATAACATATGGTCATATCCCAGTTATAATAAGCCTATAGTTAGACAAAATAAAATTAGCATATGTTAAGAAGATAAACTTAATTATACTCACATTCAATTTTTTCTTACTTCATGAAGGGTAGGGTTTATATTGGTAGCTATAACACAGTTTTCGCAAGGTTCTTCAAGTTAAGCAGCTTTGGAAGGTGTATTAGTACCTCACACTGTACATGAGATAATGCAGCAACTCCGGTCCATCCATTTATTGGGTATGCAGCTTGAAGATATATCAAACAAACAAAAACATGTCATTTTTTCTAAAATAAGCGCTTAACATTTTTTTTTCTTTTATCAAGTGTTTTTTAAAGAAAATATTATATGACAAACTAACAAAACTATTATATGAATACAAATATTTTTTGAGGTAAATAAATATTTTAAATATGGGAAAATGACTTAAAATGGTAATTATATTTTTGTAAGAACATTGTTATTTGTTGCAATTTGCATCAGGTGACCATGTCCAGAAAGAAGGAATTTGCTCAGAGTTTTGGATCTCCCTTTCTGGTATTTGATCATAATTTGGTAAAATTCATGATTAAAACAATTTTCCTATTCCATAGCTATTTACTTTTCATTATTGCGGTTTTTTAGCCAAATGGCAAAAACTTCAAATTCGTATAAAATATAAAAATAAAAATACTAATCTGTTATTCTTTGTATTTAATAGAAAAGTATAATTATGCCCTTTCCTATTAATCTTGCCCTGTTCCTATCATTGTTTGTTTTTCTGTTTATGTCGTATACTAAAAAACTATCATTATTTATTTTTAATAGAAAACGACAATTCTGCCCTTATATATGGACCGTTTTACCAAATAACTTATTTCATAATATAGCGGCCTACTTCTCATATAAAGCCACATAAAGGGCAACAGACTAATAGGAATGAATCAAAAAAAGGCAATCAACTATAAAGCTACATAAAACATACCAGGAGCATCAACAAGGACAAAAAGGCCAATAAACCTCATATGAAGGAAGCAAGAATCAGCAGACATCCCAAACCAAGTATACCAGGGTCTAGCAAGAAAAAGACAACAAATTGAAATAGTAAACAACATAAATGAAGCCACCCAGCACAAAAGGGAAAAACATTCCAACTTATAGCAAAACCAAAAGGGCAAAACAGTCCATCTAAGAGAAACATCAGGTCAATGGTTTGTAATCTTTATCAATCAACACATCAATAGGGTTTAATAGGTTAAACAAAAGATGGTTGACAATTGTTTGGATCTCCCTTTCTGGTATCTGATCATAATTTTCCTATTCAGGATTAAAACAATTAATTTATTGAGCATATAATTACTTTTCAGATATCTGTATCTACTTTTTAATCAAATATGATAACATAATAAATAGTTTTTTAGTTTCTTTTGTTTTAACTAAATAAGAAAAATGTAAGGTACAATAAACAAATTAATAAGTTTTAGTTTCCAAATACAAGAATTATGCATAATACTATATATATATATATATATATATATATATATATATATATATATATATATATATATATATATATATATATATATATATATATATTGTTTTCAACACATGGTGGGTTTTTTAATTTTTTTTTTAATATTAAATTATTTTTGTACAAATAAAATTTTAAAATACAATCTAAATTAAATAATATTAACAAATATCACAAAAAATGAAACTTCAAGGTATTTTTTTATTTATTCGTATTAATATAAATCATTGAATAATTTTGCACAAAATTAAGCCTAATGTTTAGCAAATTCAAATTTCAAAATTTTAAAATAATACTCACACAATACGAAATTCAAAACTTTTAGCAAATTGAAAAATACCTGATTGTGTTTCCATTCTTAATCGATTTCGAGGTATTCTTTTGAAGTTCTTCAATTTTCGCTAATATCTTTATAAACAAGAGTTCTGCAAAAATAAAACCAGGTAAATTTCTTCCCAATAATGTATGTTCTGTTAATAAAACCTAAGATTCACAAACAATTGACCATCTCTTACCTTCAATCTTGCTGTCTTCAACCCCCAATTTTTCGTTTCTTCAGTCTTTGAGTTCGACATCGACTATTTATTGATGTAAGTCTCTGAGTTCGACATTGACTTTGGTTGTAAGTTTCTCTTCCACATCTCTTACCTTCGTCACTTCCTTCATCGACTATTAATTGATGTAAGTCTCTGGTGACGATATCCTCTTCCGAATCGTTCCACATTCCATTTCAAAACACCCGATAATATGTAACTAATCGCATCCTTCTCATTTCCTGATTTTCGAGAATATCGACACAAATCGTTCTATGCTGTTTAATCGTCAACGTTCTGACCTACATACACATTCTGAATGATAGCTCCATTTCATTTTTTGTACGCCACAAACGAGATTTGTAGTCAATTGGATAGATATGTTTAGGGCTACGTTTAATTGTACCCATCCATTCGTCATTTCTTTCTTTTTCGAATACCTAGAAATGGAGAAATGTAGATTCGTACGTTAGGTTTGGGAGGTTAGGGATGTTTCATACGTGGCTGCCAATTTTTGAAAATAGGGGATATTAATGATAAATTATACATTTCAAAGTGTATAAAGTAAAAAAAATTATTAACCTATAATAAATCTATGACTATAATGACAATACTAAACTGCAATTCTATATTACAATTTATAATTTAAAAAAAAAAATTAGTAGTATTGATGTATATAATATTGATGTACAAATCATTTTTAAGACAAATGATTTAGTGGTATTGTCATAATTTTATATTTAGGTTTTATTGACATAAAAATATTAGATTGTAACTACATTACAACTATGGTCCCACTTATATTATATTTACTTTATTTATTTTTTTCGATGGCTTTTGTCTAATTTTAAATAATAAATCCGATTGTGTTGTTTTATTAATTATGTGCATAGCATTTATTTTTTTAACTGAATTGTGTTAATTGTTCAGAACGCAAGCAGATCATGAAGTCGGTTAATTCTAAAAAAACTAGAAAATTAAATACTTTTTACTTAGAAAATAGACAACACGTTAATTTGTCTGCTACATCAATCAAACAATCTTCAACCGCTACTAATGTTCTTTCTTCAATTAAAAATGGTATGTTTATCATTTACAATTTTTTAATTTTATTTTTACATATTTTTTAAGTTCTTTGTATATTCTTTAATAACATAAAAATATGTACTATTCTAACACCAACCCGTATTAACATGACAAGAAAAAGCAAATATATTATCTGCTTCGTTGTACGTTGAATCTTCATCATCTGGAATATTTTTTAACAAAGGTTACAAAGGTACATTTATTTCTTCACTATTATTAATATTCTATATCAATACAATTATCTACCTACTGTTAACTTTATATCATATGCTTATATTTCTTATGTAGAAAAAAACAACCATATCTACTACTTGCAAGCAAAAGAGAATAGAAGACAGAGAAAATTATATTTGGATAATAAGCGATTGAAGACAACAAATATAAGATCCATCATTCTAAATCCATCAACTCCACATGTCTTAAAAAACATGGATAGCTGTAATTTTCTTATTAAAATCAACCACGTTTTACACTTCTTTTAACTGAAAAATACAATACATAAATTCTCAGCTTTTTATGTTATTACCCTATAATCTTATATAATTTTACCTTCTTATTTTGTTTTTTACGTCATGTCTTCAATTTTTATAATATATTTTTTTTGCAGATCAATTTAAGAGTGTTGGTCTTCAAAATGAAAATGTTCATTCATATAGATCCCGAGGAAATGAAAATACGCCCTTACAATTTTCTCCTTCATACATAAATGTTAGAACTCCGTTATCTAACATTACAAATGGTAATAATTTTCTTTTTAAATTTACTATAATGCATTCTCTAATAAATTTATAATCTTTTTTTTAATATACTATTATTTGTTTAAGCTAACATTGGTTTCAATAACTACCCCACTTCAACGTTAGCAAATAAAAGTAACTACTCTGTGCTTTCAAAAGATATGACATCCATAACTGCATCTACAATATGTCAATCTTCATTATCGATCATATTAAATCCAGGATGTCATAAATTAAAAAGGAAATCGAAACATTTATCTCCTATTCCATTAATTGACCTGACAGCAGATGTAGAAAATATACATGAGGTCGTATCTGAAAACTTAATCGTTGGTATTTCCAAAGGTAAACAAAAATATATCCATTTTTATTATTTTTACAAATCAATTCCTATATGGTATATATTTATAAAGTTAGTATTATATTAATAACACTTAATTTTTTTACAGAATATTTGGATCATGGTGATCAGATTGTTGTATGCCAAACATGTCGTGCAAAGTTATGGATAAATGAATCCATTAGAGGCAAACAAAAAAAGAGCACAAATTTTTCATTATATTGTGGTTATGGCAAGGTTCAACTACCAGATTTAAAAAAGGCACCACTAACTTATGAAAGAATGTTTCAATCAAACGATTGTAAAAGCAAAAACTTCAGGAAAAATATACGACGTTACAATTCAATGTTTTCTTTTACATCGATGGGTGGTAAGATTGATTCTTCAATCAATAGAGGAAATGCTCCATACATTTTCAGACTTGGTGGCCAAAATTATCATAGTATTGGAAGTCTTTTACCAGCAAAAGGATCGCAACCAAAATTCTCTCAGTTATACATTTATGATACTGATAATGAAAATTCAAATAGGCAGAGATGTTTTCGGTAAATTTTCAGTTTTCTTATTCATACTCTATTTTAATATATATATATATATATATATATATATATATATATATATATATATATTGCTGATGTTATTTATATTTTCCATTCATATATTGGGAAAAACCAACAATCTACATCATTTGATAATGAAATTATTGAAGAATTGAAGGTCATGCTAGATTCAAATAATGTCTTGGTTAGCTCTTATAGAATGGTAAGAGATGCTTTTCAGAAAAATCCTCACGTTGATATGAAGTTAAGAATTATCGGGAAAAGGAATCGTGATGGAAGAACATATAACCTACCAACTGCTTCTAAGGTTGCAGCTTTAATTGTAAGTGACATTTCAGATTCGATTGAAAATAGAGATATCGTTGTTCAAACAAAATCGGGTTTTCTACAACGTATTAGTGAATTGCATCCTTCTTACCTTCCTCTCCAATATCCACTACTATTTCCATATGGGGATGATGGTTATAGTGTTGACATTCTTCATAGAGGAATTACAGATACAACCAACAACAAGCGGGCGACATGTACAATGAGAGAATTTTTCTCTTTTAGAATTCAAGACAGGGATCATTCGTTCCCACTTATTCTTAATTCAAAAAGGTTGTTTCAACAATTTCTGGTAGATGCGTATACTATGATTGAAAGTGAGATTGCATTATATACGCAGACAACAACATCTTCTTAGATGCGAGTCTTATGAGAATTTACGTAAGCAAAAAGCTCAAGGAGCTACAAGTATCTCCAACGTCGGACAACGTGTCATATTACCTTCATCATTTACTGGTGGTGCACGCTATATGCTTCAAAACTATTTGGATGTCATGTCGTTATGTAAATGGTATGGATATCCTGATTTCTTCATAACCTTTACGTGTAATCCCAAATGGCCAGAGGTGAAAACGTTTCTTAAGGATACTTCACTTCAACCAGAAGACAGACCTGATATACTATGTAGGTTGTTCAAGATCAGGCTTGATGCATTTATTAAAGACTTAAGGAAGAATCATATCTTCAGCATAGTTCAAGCAGGTATTTAAAATTAACTTATTTCATAATTCATGAGATTAAATGCTTTTTATTTCATATTTTTAACATTTTGCTTATGGTCTAACCATATTTTTTTGTGCAAAATATTTTGCAGTTGTTTATACAATTGAATTTCAAAAAAGAGGTTTGCCACATAGTCATATATGTCTATTCATGCATTCTGACTACAAGCTACCCACTGTTGAATTAATCGATCCCATAATATCTACCGAAATACCAAACAAAGATGAAGATCCTGAATTGTATTCACTTGTGAATGAGTTCATGATTCATGGTCCATGTGGAGCTGAAAATATCAATTGCCCATGCATGGTGGACAAAAAGTGCTCTAAAAACTTTCCAAAGCAATTTTGCAATCATACATCTGTTGATCAGGATGGTTTTCCCTTATATAGGAGAAGAAACAATGGTCATTTTGTTGAAAAATCAGGTGTCAAGTTGGATAATATAAATGTTGTCCCCTACAACAAATATCTATTGAAAAGATATCAGGCACATATTAATGTTGAATGGTGCAATCAGGGATCATCTATAAAGTATTTATTCAAATACATAAACAAAGGACCAGATAGAGCTACAATTGCCGTTGTACGAAGCAACAATGATTGTGATAATCATGATGCTGTCGATGAAATAAATGAATATTACGATTGTAGATATTTATCTGCATGTGAAGCATCATGGAGAATTTTTACATATGATGTTCATTACAGATATCCTTCTGTGGTTAGACTACCTTTTCATCTTCCTGGTCACCAGCAGATTGTATATGGGGAAGACGATGATATTAATGATGTTTTGGATAAACCTTCTGTTGATGCTTCAATGTTCACAGCTTGGATGGAGTGTAATGTAATTTCAAGTGATGCACGAAAACTTACGTATGTTGAGTTTCCTACAAAGTTTGTTTGGAATCGTACGGATAGGTTTTGGAAGCCTACGGAAGTAGGAAAGTGCATTGGTAGAATTCATTCAGTTTCACCTAATCTAGAGGAAGCTTATTTCTTAAGGATTCTTTAAAATAAGGTGAAAGGTCCGAGATCATTTGAAGATATTCGCACAGTAAATGGTGAAGAATATTTGTCTTTTAGAGATGCTTGTTATGCTCTTGGGCTTTTGGATTATGACAAAGAATACATCGATGCAATTAAAGAAGCAAGTCATTCTGGATCTGGTTTTTATCTATGATTTTTATTTGCCACATTGTTGATGTGTAACAGTATGTCTAAACCAGAAGTTGTTTGGGAAAATACATGGGAATATTTGGCGGATGGAATTCTTTTTAATCAACGACAGAGATTAAAGTTATCAGGTATTAAAATTTTATTATTATTATTTATTTAAAAATTAAATTATTTATTTTCTAACATACATTTGATAAATTTTTAATTATAAGTAAATATTGGTAATAATATATGTAA